CTCTCTCTCTCTCTCTCTCTCTCTCTCTCTGGCTCACTGAGCTTCCTACTTGTTCGAGCAGACTAAAACAACCCGGGTCTCTTCTATCGGTTGGTTTATCTGCCTCGGCCCCTTCCCCCTCCCCGCAGCTATTATTGTGAGGAGAGAGCTAGAGACGCCACACACGCGTGCCCCCGTTAGGGCGCTGAATCGACTGCCAGAGGAGAGCTGGTGGGGGGGAGCCTGGTATGAGAAAAAAAGAAACAAACACACACATAAAGGAGGCCAGGCCGTGGTGCTGCTCCTAGCAGCAGCACACCGCCCCCCCCTCCCCCCGGAAAGCATCGCTGTCCACTTGAATGGCGGGGGTGGGGGGGTAGGGAGGAGGAGGAGATCGACCAGGAAGGGTTGCCTTCCTCGCCTTGCACACTCGCCAGGAGCCGTCTCCCGGAAAATGAAGACACCGTACACAACAGCCCACACCTTTCCCACCAACTATTGTTTCCTACGAGATCCCAAAGTTTCCTTCTAGCCTTGTCCCCCTCGTCAAGTTTCCCAAGCGCAAGACAGCGGGTCCCAGTCGAGCTGCTGGCGCTGCCTTGGCCTCGCTGGCCTGGTCCTTGGGGGGGTGGGGGGGAGGCGGTGGCACCCCGGAGCATCGGAGGTGTAGAGGGACTGCGTTCGTGGACGTGATGGCCTGAGCCCAACTCTGCTTCACGATGGGAAGAAAAAGCGAAGTAGACAGGAGCGAGAGACGAACCCGAGCCCACGCCGTACGGGGCTGTGTGGTGGTGGTTGTTGTTATTGTTATAAGTGTATGTATGTGTGTTTTCTTTCTGCCACCGCTGAGCTCTGCCCACGGTTTCCAACTTTCAGCTTTTGAATCTCCACCCCACCCAGGAACGTGCGACAGAAAAACAACACTTGTCTGACCGAGAAGGCTCTAGGAAAAAAAAAAAAAAGGAAGAAAGACGACCTCGTCGAGATGAACTCTCGGATCAGTTGTCAGCAAACAACAACACTCCCCTGGCTCCGGGGCCCGGCCGCCCTCCCAATCCCCGGGAGACGCACAAACCGACGCACCGACAGACCCCCTTCTACCCCCGCTCTTTGTTACATCTTTAGCAGCTTTGTGCGTGCGTGTTCTTTCTCTGGTGTCATCGGCTTTTCTGCCGAGGGCTGGATGTGTGTGTGTTGGGGTAAGGAGGTTCGGGCCGAACAGGCGACAGGGGTCGCCTAAGTGGGATAGGACTAAAGAGCCAGGCGTTGAGAGGGAGCAGGGGGCCCCCCAAACTTACTTTTGTTTTCTTTCTCTATCTGCTCCAGGTAGCTGGCGGCCTCAAGCAGAATTTGCACGTTCTGCAGAAAAGTGTTGATGTGCTTCTCCATCGAGTTCTCGCTGGTGTTGAAGATGTCCGAGAAGGGGCACCTGGGCTTGGCCCAGGAGGGCTCCTCGGGCTGGGCCGGGGGCTGGGGCGCCGCCGCTACCGGGGGCACGGTCGGGGGCGCGGCAGGGACTGGCCCCGCGCCCTCGCAGCGCGCCTCCTTGCGCGGCCGCCCGCGTTTGCCCATGGAGGGGCTGGGGTCCTCCGAGCTGGTTGATACTCTTGCTTGGCTGCGCGGCCCGCTTGAGCGCCGAGCCCAGGGGAGACCTGACCGGCTGGAGCTGAGGAACCGCCGGGGCGAGGAGCCGGCCTGACTTCCCGAGCCTTGCTGCGTGCAGTTGTGTGCGTGCGTGTGTGTGTGTCGGGCTCGCTGTGGGTCTGTGTGTATGGGAGATTGAATGAACCTACAGGACAGACGGAGGCGCTCTGACGCCTGGGTCCTAGTGCTAGCCTTTCGCCATTGGACCGGTCAAAATAAAAGGTGGAGATCAGCCTCCTGCGGGTTCCCGCACGGCCACCCCCGCTGTCTCTCCCCAAAATTTTCCACGATATATTTTAATCGGAATAATGAAAGAAAAAAAATCCGATGCCTTTGAATACACCTGCATAAAAAACAAACTACTAAGATTTTGTTTTGTTTTGTTTTAACATAAAAATTATAACTTGCAAAGTGTGTTAGCACAATGCCTGGCATACAATTGTGTTGTGGTGTTGTTAAGTGCCCTTGAGTAGGTTCCGATTCATAGCGACCCTGTATGAGGAGCGGCTGGTGGGTTTGAACCACTGACTTTGTGGTTAGTAGTTCAATGCTTATCCTACAGCACCATACCAGGACTCATAATTTGGTAGTGGTGTTGTTAAGTACCGTCGAGTTGGTTGAAGGTCCCCAATAAATGATAGTAACTATGACTTTTTTCTTTAGATAAAAGTCCAATTCAAATGGGAAAAATGAAACTATAACATGTAACCTGAAGTTCCTTGCTCCAAGATACACACTTCACACACACACACACACACACACACACACACACACACACACACACACACACATCAGGGAGGGCACTGTCACCCAGACCATTAATTCTCCAGGCCACCCAAGTCTGGTTCCAGATTTGCTCACTCCTTTTTTATCCCTTCAGATGCAAAGTTATTTTGCAGGAAGGGGAGGAGATGTAAGCATCTCTCTCACTTTCTCTTTCCCAGCCTTGGTCCAGCTGTGCAAAGCTCACAACAGGGGCTTCCACACCTGGCTCCCTTTTATTTGATAGAAAGGCAGAAATAGCAGCCTAGAGACATCCCACCACCCCTTTATCCCCCACCCCCCAGGTCAACCATTTGGCTCTGAAGACCCCTCTCCCAGTTGACACTGCTGTTTACACTGCTGTTGCTGTCTCCCAATCAGGGTCTATAGGAAGCATGGGTGGTTCTGGCCCTGGAGGCCTGGATTGGAGTCAAGGGAGTAGTTAGGGGCTATTTTGGAGTACTATAGCAATGGATTCCAGTCCCAACTCTGCTGCACATAGACTGTGTGAGCTTGGGCAAGTCCCTTAACCTCTCTTAGTCTTTGATAAGATTCTTGTGCAATTAAATCATATCTGCATTGACCCATTGTAAGTCCATTTCTCCCCATCCAGGAAGAGCCTGGGACCTCTATTATGACATGCAGGCACACTTAATTGTATTACTCATTGCAGATCGTGCATTTTTTACACATTGAAGATTTGTGGCAACACTACTGCCAGAAAGTCTATCATTGCCAGTTTTCCAACAGCAAACTTTGTGTCTTTGTGTCACATCTTGGTAATTCTCACAATAGTTTAAACTTTTCCATAATGCTACTGCACACTTAATCAAATTACAATATAGTATAAACATAACTTTTATATGCACTGGGAAACCAAAAACTTTGTGTGACTCAATTCATTGTGGTGGTCTGGAATCAAATCCTCTGTATCTCCTAGGTATGCCTGTAACTTGTATTTAAGTGGGTAACAAGATACTGAAAGCAAGATCCTTTGCCCTTCTTTGGGAAACATCCTACAAGTTCATATAAATATTGCTACCTTGCAAGGCTACCTAGAGTTGTTCTCCAGTGGGGCCATTTACATAGATGACACAGGGAATGCTGCCCCCTAGAGTTGTGCGGGGAATCCACCTGCTCAGAAATGGTTTCTTCACAATTGTCAGGCAGACTCTTACTAGAAATGGAAACTTTTAGAAATAAGGAGAGAAAGCAGACTCCTTTGCAAACACTATAAACCTACAGAATATGTATACACACATTCTCACAGAGCCTCAAGAAAATCTTTGTGCACTTTTAGAATAACCTGCTACCAAAATGATAGGAACAGCCAGCAATTGGCATTTTTAAAGCTAATGTAGTCATATTTTGAACCATAATATAATCATGCTACTCACTTAGCTGTGGGAGAAAGATTTGGCAATCTGCTTCTGTAAAGATTATGGTCTACGGAATCTATGGGACAGTTCTACCCTATCACATGGGGTCATAATGAGCCGAAAATCGACTCAATGACACAAAACAATATATTCTCTGCTCAGTTATTGTGCTGTGATAAATTCGACATAGCTGGTCCCTGTATCCTTGCTCTAGAGAAAAATAGAAGAATCTGAAAGCTGTGAGATAAAAGTTCAGCTTCCAATATCAAAACAATTACTTGTTTTATTTGTTTCTATCAGAACCACAAGCTTCATTATTCATGTGAAAAGGCCTAAGGAAGGCCTCAGGAATGCACACTTTCAAATAAATGCTATCCACTGTGTGAGATGGACCTGGCCTTCCTTGCCCCAAACGAAAGACAATAGGGAACTAGCTAAACCCAGAGAAAAGCTTGGTCTCTCTTTAATTCCCTGGAGGCAGGCAGCATGGGCCAAATGTGCACATATACAGTACTGCAAACCACATGTATACATACATACACACACTGAGACAGGCACACCCCCACACATAAGGGATGGGGGTGGGTATTTTGTAATTATTTATTTATCCCTTTTCTGTCTCTTATAGGTCTGTGAGCCTCAGAAAGCCCAGTGGGAATCTTCAAGCTGGGCCACAGATCTAACCAAAGCCAAAATAAACAATGGCCTGAAGAAAATCTACAAAAAAGTGCTGATTTGCACTCTTCCCACAGTTGGCCGCAGCCCCCACCATCATTCCCATGGAAAACATCACTGCTGGTGCCAAATCAAGTTTTGCCCCATCATAGGGTCATTGTTTTTTGTTATTATGTGAGTTCTTAGCATCAGACAATGGCACCACAAGAGACACAGTGAAGGCAGGAGAAACGCCTTTTTGTTTCACTAAGTCTATGCTATTGTGCTCCCAAGTCTCTCGTATAGTTTAGTTGCATATATTCGTTTTGGTAACATGGATATGGAATGATGAATGTACCCAGATAAAGCCTGAAACCCCTTCCTTATTTTTTTCACAGCCCATCAAGTGTTAAATCATATTAGCATTGCATTGCTTTCTCTCTGTCCCATCCCCCTAATTAACAGATTTCTCTAATAAAGTTGGCCCCAACAGAGAGTGTGGTGTTTCAGGGGTTATATCATGGGACAGGCATCCAGGATGCTGGGTTACAAACTCAGCTCCATTCCCGATTAGCTTTGCTTCCTAGGGGGAGCCATTCAAACCCTTTGCACCTCACTTTCTCTGGGGTTTAACTCCAAGAGGAAACTTGCTGGGGATTTCTGCAGAAGTGGCAGAGAACAGGTAAGGAATGAGAAGGCAGACACCTTGATAAGAATATTTGAACTCTTTGAAAGAAAAACAATGACGAGCATGCCCAGTATAGCCAGCCAGTCATGATGCCTCCAGAAGGTCCAAGGTATTTTCCATGTCCCCTCAACCTGGGTCTTGCTTTCCCAATCTTCTTCTGTTTGGTTTATTTGCTTGTTTGGAAATATTTTTCCATCAACCTTGTTTGCATATTAAAGTAAGATTGTTCTCTCTTTTATTTGCCTCTTCTTTTCCACCAGCCATTCTACACTCTCACAAAATCAAAGGAGTTGTTTTGCCTGTAATTATGTCTTTATGTACACAGAGGCTGCTTAATTACTGAGAAGGTGATAGGAGAGTTGCCACTTGCATTCAGATGGGACGCTTTCCTCTCTGACATGGACCACTTTGGCTTTCTTGGGCTCCTTAACTCTACTCTTGTTCCTTCACTAATCTAAGTCCACCTCCCCAACCTCGTTTTCTTTGTCTTGGACCTTGCCGGCACAGTGGGGCAGGTTCTTCTCTGCCTTTTGCCCTGTGGTCTTTGTACACAGGCTTGGTAAACACTCTCAAGAGATCTTCTGTCCATGCATGGTAACTTGTGTCCTAATCCCAGAGCTTCTCCTGGACAGCTTTCCCTTTGGAAAGGAATTGTCCAGTGATGAGTAGAGGATCTGGCTCCAAGTCCACTTCCCTTGGACCTTTCTTCTTGCCTTCACTTGTCAGAAGGGAAGAGAGGCTTCCGGGAAAGCCCAGAAGTAGAGGGTTAGGGACTGTGAGACACAGCAGAATGGAAGGAACAAGGAGAATGGTGAATCTCTGCCTTTCCCACTGTCTCCTCAGGCAGCCCTCCTGTCCCCACCCAGCCCTCACCAGTACGGATAGTACTGGGTGGAGGATAAGTGGCCTACACCCTAATATTGGAGCTCACTGGGTGTCACCTGCTCCTGGGGCATTCGCTCTGCTCTCCTGGACTCTGCCCTCTCTTTTCCTAGACCTCTGGCTCAGCCAGCTCCTAGGCTTCTCCCATCCAACGCCCAGTACTTACAGGGTTCATAGACTATGAGCTCATCAAGGGCAGACTGCTCCGCCCCCTGGCACCTAACACAGCACCCGCATGGCACAAAATAGGGGCTCAGGTCTGGAGGGTCTCAGAATTGAATGCCCTTTCCTTCTTGGACAGAGAGAGCCTTGGTGCTGGTCTTTGTGTCAGTGTGGAAAGAGGCATTTGACACTGTCTACAGAGATAGTCCTGAATCACTCACATTAAAGTTTAAATATCTAAATGCTTTCTCTGCAGAGAAGCCAGAAATCCATTGAGCTAGATGGTTGAGGTTCCTTTACCAAAAAGAACAGAGCCTCGTCTGCCCGCTCCCTATCATTACTGGTGGATAGATCTGGTGGCAAGATGGGTCTCCTGTGTAATAAGATGCCTCTGAAGGAGAATTTTCAAAAATCACCTGGCAATGAAGTCAGTTGTCTGACATCAAACTGGCAATCAAGTGGAACTTATTTTTCATATCTACCATTGGATGTCTGCTCAGTCCTTCAGCCCCGTCCCCCATTTCTTAGACAACTCCATATTTTTAAAAAAAAATTAATTCGGTAAAAAGATTCTTAATTCATGTATATTAGTGTAT